TATATATATATATATATATATATATATATATATATATATATATATGTCGTACCTAGTAGCCAGAACGCACTTCTCAGCCTACTATGCATGGCCTGATTTGCCTAATAAGCCAAGTTTTCCTGAATTAATATATTTTCTCTAATTTTTTTCTTATGAAATGATAAAGCTACCCATTTCATTATGTATGAGGTCAATTCTTTCTTATTGGATTAAAATTAACGTAGATATATGACCGAACCTAACCAACCCTACCTAACCTAACCTAACCTATCTTAATAGGTTAGGTTAGGTTAGGTGGCCGAAAAAGTTAGGTTAGGTTAGGTTAGGTAGGTTAGGTAGTCGAAAAACAATTAATTCATGAAAACTTGGCTTATTAGGCAAATCGGGCCTTGCATGGTAGACTGAGAAGTGCGTTCTGGCTACTAGGTACGACATATATATATATACATATATATATATATATATATATATATATATATATATATATATATATATATATATATATATATATGTTTCATTGAATATGACCGCATATTCTGTATTTATTATTTTCTGGTTTAGGGCTTCTATCCCTCTAACTATTTTCTTAGCATCAGGGCTTAATTGAAATAGGAGTTCTCCAAAACTCATTTTCGTACTTTTAAGGTGAAGAAAAGAAGTGATTTACTATAGAGTGTATTACACTTATTTGTATAATTTGCACGACGTTTCGAACCTCCATGGTTCATTCTCAAGTGAACAGATCTTACAATACTAGTTGATTTTATACCCGCATTAGGTCAGGTGATAATACAATGAAGGTGAAAACATGGGGGGATACATAAGGGATAAACATAGGGGCTGCAGAAGGCTTATTGGCCCATACGAGGCATCTCCTATCTAAACACAAAGATTAATCCAGTGTAATTGGCCTGTTATGTTGGACATTGTCTTCTGTGTTGGCATCGATATGTTCTTGTCTTGTCCTTACTCTCATGGTGGGTAGAGTAAATAGTTCCGTGATTTGGGTGTTCATGGTAGGTCGCTCTATTCTTATGTGAATTGCCTCAAGATTGTGAATTGCCTCTTGAGGCAATTCACATAAGAATAGAGCGACCTACCATGAACACCCAAATCACGGAACTATTTACTCTACCCACCATGAGAGTAAGGACAAGACAAGAACATATCGATGCCAACACAGAAGACAATGTCCAACATTGTCTTCTGTGTTGGCCATTGTCTTCAGGCCAATTACACTGGATTAATCTTTGTGTTTAGATAGGAGATGCCTCGTATGGGCCAATAAGCCTTCTGCCGCCCCTATGTTTATCCCTTATGTATCCCCCCATGTTTTCACCTTCATTGTATTATCACCTGACCTAATGCGGGTATAAAATCAACTAGTATTGTAAGATCTGTTCACTTGAGAATGAACCATGGAGGTTCGAAACGTCGTGCAAATTATACAAATAAGTGTAATACACTCTATAGTAAATCACTTCTTTTCTTCACCTTAAAAGTACGAAAATGAGTTTTGGAGAACTCCTATTTCAATTAAGCCCTGATGCTAAGAAAATAGTTAGAGGGATAGAAGCCCTAAACCAGAAAATAATAAATACAGAATATGCGGTCATATTCAATGAAACATGTTTGAAAGAAAACCTGCTGCCAGTATACACCAATATATATATATATATATATATATATATATATATATATATATATATATATATATATATATATATATATATATATATATATATATTATATATATATATATATATATATATATATATATATATATATATATATATATATATATATATAAATATATATATATATATATATATATATTAGTATATTTAGTATATTTTGGTAGCAGTCTTTCCTGTAGACATATATTATTAAATATGACCGAAAAAGTAAGATTAATAATTCTAACACGAATTTTCTCAATCTTTCGTACATTTCTTTTCACTGTTGGAGGTAATTCAAAAATTAATTCTCCAAAATTCATTTTTATTTCTAGTCTGACGCGACACTTGAGCGTTTTTCGTAAAACTTATTACATTTTCAAAGACTTTACACATACACAACTGAATAGAACTTACACATCTCCGATTTGTTTATATCTACATTTGAGTGAGGTGGATGGGGTGAGGTGGTATTTAATAGGGTATTAATTTCATCAACACAAGACAGAACACGAAACAATGGGTATTGAAATGTAAGTGATTGTAGAAAGTCTATTGGTCCATATTTCTTGATGCTTCTATATTGGAGCGGAGTCTTGAGGTGGGTAGAATATAGTTGTGCATTAATTGGCTGTTGATTGCTGGTGTTGACTTCTTAATGTGCAGTGCCTCGCAAACGTCAAGCCGTCTGCTATCGCTGTATCTATCGATGATTTCTGTGTTGTTTACTAGGATTTCTCTGGCGATGGTTTGGTTGTGGGAAGAGATTATATGTTCCTTATTGGAGCCCTGTTGCTTATGCATCGTTAAACGCCTAGAAAGAGATGTTGTTGTCTTGCCTATATACTGGTTTTTTTAGAGCTTACAGTCCCCAAGTGGGCATTTGAAGGCATAGACGATGTTGGTCTCTTTTAAAGCGTTCTGCTTTGTGTCTGGAGAGTTTCTCATGAGTAGGCTGGCCGTTTTTCTGGTTTTATAGTTGGATCTGCCTCACTCACTCTTTCTTTTATTTCTTCTGCTTTATTAGATACCCCATCAGCATTAATGTACCAAACCTTGAGATTCTTCATGGAACCTCTGGCACCAGAGTCAACCCTTTCTCTGGGGGCCTGGAAGGATCTGGGGGTGTTTGGGCGGTGTCTGTGGGGGGAGGGGTGTCTAGGTGGTGAATGGGGGCTGGGGGAATTTGGGGGGTGTCTGTGGTTTGAATGGTGTCTTGAGGGGTGCTTTGGGGGCAAATGGGGGCTGGGCATCTAGGAAGGTAGGTAGGAAGGTCTGGGGTAGGGCCTGGGTAGATAGGTCTAGAGTAGGAAGAACATACTGGGTCTGAAGATTAGGGAGGGGTCTGGTAGGCATAGGGGGGGGGTGAGAGGAAGCATGAGGTTGAGAGTCAGATAGAGGGTGAGAGGTGGCGGGGGGGGGGGGAGGAAAGAGGGGGTAGGGGAAGAGGGGAGGATTAAGCATGGATAGTGAGAGTGGGAGAGAGATTGTATTAGTCAGGGGAAACTCAGGGGGTAGGTGTGGGCATTGGGGCAGAAGGTGGGACGAGGGAAATGGAGGAAGAGGTGGGGTGTCCCCCTGTCCCCCACAGGGGGGGGGGTCCATGTGATTCTCTCGCAAGGGGAGAGGGTCATATGGAAGGAGAGGGGCAGAGGAAGGGGTGAGGGCTGGGGGGGTTTGGGGGGTTGAGGGGATGAGAGGGGTCCTTGAAATGTGGGATGAAGCAGATGGATTTGAATGCAATGGGGGTCAGAGGGATCAGGGGAGGTGTTGGGGGAGGTAAGCAGGGACAGGGGATGGGAGGGGGTGATTGAGGGATGGTGTGACCTGGGAAGCAGGTGTGGGCTGCTTAGCATGGGTGGTGTGGGTAACTACGCCGGATAGGAAGAGGTGTGTCGTGCCGGTCGGCTCGCCCTGTGGGCTATCTGTTCATCTTTTGTCATGTATCTGTCAATATTCACGTTGTAATAGTTTTTCTACCTCTGAGTAAATGTTTGTGTTGCAGTATGTAATCCACTGCCTCTTCGTTAGTGAACTGTACCAGGACAGGTCGTTTCTTGTTACAGTTGTAAGACCCAATGCGGCAGTGAATTTCCACCTAACCCTGCCATCTTGGCTCTAATATCTCTCAAGATCCTCTGTAACTCAAAATCTTCAATCTCTATCTTTTCCTGCCTCGATGGTGCTTTGGCTTCAAGTAATCCATGAAGTATGATTGACCTCCTCCTCAGTAAGGCACTGTCATGCTGGTCGCCCCTTCCCTGGACACTCCCCATCCCTCCTACACTCGCTACTCCATCCCCCACTACTCTCCCTTCCCTTGCCATGCTTCCCTTATTCCTGCCAAATTCAGTTGCACGCCGAGTTATTTCACTTCTCCATGCAACCCTGTTCTTTCTTATTTCTTCCTGAATATAGTCCATAAGCTCTTGTTGTTGTCTCTGAACCTCGTCCTGTATTTTATTAAAGACCTCACTTTTAATCCCTTGGATTAGATCCTCTATCCAAACATCTCTCTTTACTAATTTCCCTATAGTCTTCTTCACAAGCCTATCCTCTTCTTCAATTATAATACTGCTGGACCTAGACACCCTTCCTGACCTAGTCATTGCTGTAACCAACCTTACCCACAGACATTCCAAGTACCTTACCGACCTGCTAACACAATATAGGCGAGTGAGTCTCCAAGCATCTCCCCCACGTGGTGTAGTAAGGGTTGCCGCCGGGGTGAGGTCACGTCAGTCACAGTTTGAGGCTGTGAGGTCACAGTGTGAGGTCTGCTCCACTCTTCACACTGCCACAATGAATTCAACACCTATTTTCAATTATGCTATATGTACTGTTTTTCTTTACTACCTTATGGTTTTAGTCAAAATCCAAGTTTTCATTCACTTGTATACACTTTTTCACTTCGAAGTGGCCTGATTATCCCTCCCACTTCACTAGTTACCCAGGAGCGCCTTACACAACGTCCATCCACCACGACGGACACAACACGACTGTGTGTGTGTGTGTGTGTGTGTGTGTGTGTGCGTGTGTAAGCCATGAAGAAATTAACACGTAATTATGAATAATGTGAAAACATTTGACTCCAGCATCATCCAGACCATAACATGGTTATAACTTAATATTAAACATTATTCTCAATAGAAACTTAAAAACATATTAACAAATATGTATTTATGGTCAGGGTTCAGATGAGCTGATGTAGAATCTCCCAGTTTCATTACGAACATCATTATTATTATACCCTAGTCGTACACATTACAATAAAATGCACTGCATCAACGCCATTAACACACTTATCATCAACAGAGTGTCAACATGGACCTCCGGCCGCCTGGGGACCAAGACCAAGTTCTGGCCAGGCTTCGTGGCCCGCTGGCCGCTGACGACCCTCGAGTCCTGGACATATTACACCACCAATACCTGACTCCGCCATCCACCAGGCCCTACAATCTGTTCGGAACTTCTAATTTCACCATGAGCAACATACAGAAGCTGTATAGCAACCAGCGGGGCGGGTTTTTCGTAGAAGCCGGAGCCTATGATGGGGAGAGGATATCGAACACCCTGCACTTGGAGAAGGAGCTTGGGTGGACAGGTCTGCTGATCGAACCCGATAATGAGAACTATAAAAAGCTGTTAACGAAGCACCGCAAGGCCTGGATCTCCCACTCCTGTTTGTCGCAGGAGAGCTACCCAAAGGAAGAGGTGCTGATCTCCCTTGTTAGTGGTGATCTGATTGGCAACGATCGTCGGTATTCCTCATACCTCCAAGGAGTCAAACTCAACTCCACTGTCTACGACGATTTCCTGAAAACATCGGAAGAATCTTATTCTGTGGTGCAGTGCTTCCCTCTGGCGTCCTACCTGTTGGCCCTCAAGGTGTCCACAGTGGACTTCCTCTCCCTGGACATCCAAGGGGCGGAGAAAAGTGTCCTCAAGAATTTTCCCTGGGACAGAATCACCATCCGCGCCATGGTGGTCGAGGAAGTCCACTTCAAGGACTTCAATCACCAGTTTGTCGACGACATGAAGAACAGAGGGTTCGTCTTGGTCGACAAAGCGGACATAGACTATTTTTTTGTGAAGGGAGATGACCCACTCATGAAGAAAATCAGCCCATTTTCAACGCCCTCAAAAATAACCTCACTACCTTGACTCTGTACATAAACACACACGCACACACACACACACACGCACACACACACACACACACACACACACACACACACACACACACACACACACACACACACACACACACACACACACATACACACCTATATATATATATATATATATATATATATTATTATATACACATACACACCTATATATATATATATATATATATATATATATATATATATATATATATATATATAGGGGTACCACCACTGGTTTAATTAAAGGGACCCACATCCTCGAAGAAGAAAATAAATGGTGTTCAGAGAAGACCTTGTGGATTCTCACTGAATACTTTAATCTTTTCCTCTCCTACCACCCCTATTATTTTTTTTTTATTTGATTTTATTGCAATGTTACAGTTTACAGAAAACACACACTTATATAACAATATACCAATCAGTGTTCGAAGACCTCGTCCAGTTCCTCGGGGGTCGGGTGCGTACCCAAGATACAGCACGCATTTCCCCTCTGAACAGCGACACTGAGGCGCTGGAACATAAAACTGGCCGCTCTTGGGTCTCTAGTCTTCCCAATGAGTTCCTCGCCCAGCTCCTTCAGGAACTTAAGTGCACATTTACCCCAGGCGCCCAGAGTCTCAGAGCCTATTGGCACGAATATATATATATATATATATATATATATATATATATATATATATATATATATATATATATATATATATATATATATATATATATATATATATATATATATATATGAGTTCATTATTATTTAATTTGAGTTAGAACAAACGAAAAAATGTGACCAAACCTTAAAACACCTACCTTACCTAACCTAACCTCACCTCACCTAACCTAACCACACCTAACCTAACCTAACCACACCTAACCTAACCTAACCACACTTAACCTAACCTAACCACACCTAACCTTACCACACCTAACCTAACCACACGTAACCTAACCTAACCTAACTTAACCTAACCACACCTAACCTAACCTAACCTAACCTAACCTAACCACACCTAACCAAACCTATCCTAACCTAACCTAACCTTGCTTAACCTAACCACACCTAACCAAACTTAACCACACCTAACCTAATCTAACCTATCTTAACCTAGCCTAACCACATCTAACCTACCTAACTTATTATAACTCAATCCAACCTTACCTATCTTAACCTAACCTAAACTAACATAACTAAGTCAGAAATTCATGTTTTTAATACAATAAAATAATATTATTATTATATAATGGGTCCGACTGCTGAGTGGACAACGCTTCAGATTCTTAGTCCTGAGGTACCGGGTTCGATCACCGGTGGAGGCAGAAACAAAATGGCCAGAGGTTATTTCACCCTGATGTCCCTGTTACTTAGAGGCCTGGTCGAAGACCGGTCCGCGTAGACGCTAAGCCCCGAAATCATCTCAAGATTATCTCAAATAAACAAATTGGTAATTTTTATGGAAAATAACGATAATCACTCTGCTTATTAGGCGAATCAGGCTTTGCATACTAGGCTGAGTAGTGCGTCCTCGCTGTTAAGTAGGACATATGCTCTTTTAACAATTATTTAATACACATATAAACTCACTGGACCCGAGGAGTAAACATTCCTATAATAGGTTAGTCTCCCCTAACATTGTAGACATTTTTATAAAAGGTTCAATATATACAAATATGAAACTTCAATGTTATTATTTTTAAAAATTATGTCAATTTAAATTCAATTTAAATTCAATTTAAATTCAATTTAAAAATTGAAATAATCGTAAATTGACTTTTTTGTTAATTCCCAAGAAACTAGAAATTTATTTACATTTTATAAACAAATATTGATTTAAAATAATAGTTTAATTTGTTTCAAGTTTTAATAAAAGAAAAAAAATTGTTTACTTATGTTTTAATTAAATTACCTCAAACACACAATTGGCATTGTTTTGGCTCGACCAGTGTTGGTGCCCCGTACAAGTGTTGGCTTGGTGACTACATGTTTTACTTGACTGTCTGCCAGTGTTGGTTTAATGTACATGTGTTGGACAATTGTCAACTTATTTTTCTTGACTGAATCCAAGTTTTGGTTCAACTTACATGTGTTATTTGATAGTTTAACGTGTTGGATGACTTATGTCGGTGTTGAATGACTTCTGTCATTGATGGATGACTTCTGTCGGTGTTGCATGACTTCTGTCTGTGTTGGATAACTTCTGTCTGTGTTGCACGACTTCTGTCATTGATGGATGAAGTCTGCAAGTGTTGGAAGACTTTTGTCAGTGTTGGATGACTTCTGTCAGTGTTGGATGACTTCTGTCAGTGTTGGATGACTTCTGTCAGTGTTGGATGAAGTCTATCAGTGGTGGATGACTTCTGTCAGTGTTGCATGACTTCTGTCAGTGAAGGATGACGTCTGTCAGCGTTTGACGACTTCTGTCAGTGTTGGATGACTTCTCTCAGGGTTCGATGAATTTTGTCATTGTTGGATGACTTCTGTCAGTGTTGGATGACTTTAGCGGGGTTGGATGACAACGTGCAGTGATGGATGACTTCTGTCAGTGTTGGATGACGTTTGTCAGTGTTGGATGACTTCTGTCAGTGTTGGATGACTTCTGTCAGTGTTGGATGACTTCTGTCAGTGTTGGATGACTTCTGTCAGTGTTGGATGACTTCTGTCAGTGTTGGATGACTTCTGTCAGTGTTGGATGACTTCTGTCAGTGTTGGATGACTTCTGTCCATGTTGGATGAATTTTGTCAGCGTTGGATGACGTTTGTCAGTGTTGGATGACGTTTGTCAGTGTTGGATGACTCCTGTTAGTGATGGATGACTTTTGTCAATGTTGGAATACTTTTAATTGTCAATGTTGGATTACTTCTGTCAGTATTCGATGACTTTTGTCATTGTTGGATGAATTCGGTCAATGTTGGACGACTAGTTCTGTCAGAGTTGGATGACCTTTGTCAGTGTTGGATTGCCTTTGTCATTGTTGGATGACTTCTGTCAGTGTTGGATGACTTCTGTCACTGTTGGATGACTTCTGTCCGTGTTGAATTACTTCTGTCAGTGTTGGATGACTTTTATCATTGTTGGATGATGTCTGTCAGTGTTAGATAAAGTCTGTAAGTGTTGGAAGACTTTCGTCAGTGTTGGATGACTTCTGTCAGTGTTGCATGACTTCTGTCAGTGATGGATGACTTTTGTCATTGTTGGATGAATTCTGTCAGTGTTGGATAACGTCTGTCGGTGTTGGATGACTTTTGTTAGTGTTGAATGATTTATGTCAGTGTTTGATGACTACTGTCAATGTTGGAGACATTTGTCAGTGTTGGACGACTTCTGTCAGTGTTGGACGACTTCTGTCAGTGTTGGACGACTTCTGTCAGTGTTGGATGACTTCTGTCAGAGTTGGATGACCTTTGTCAGTGTTGGATGACTTCTGTCAGAGTTGGATGACCTTTGTCAGTGTTGGATGACTTCTGTCAGTGTTTGATGACTACTGTCAATGTTGGAGACATTTGTCAGTGTTGGACGACTTCTGTCAGTGTTGGACGACTTCTGTCAGTGTTGGACGACTTCTGTCAGTGTTGGATGACTTCTGTCAGAGTTGGATGACCTTTGTCAGTGTTGGATGACTTCTGTCAGAGTTGGATGACCTTTGTCAGTGTTGGATGACTTCTGTCAGTGTTGGATGACTTTTGTCCAACCCGCTCTCGCACAAGAGAGCACATATATGACTTAATGCTTAATGTCATTATATAGCTTATGAATTAGTAAATAAATGGTATATTCCCAGTTATATTTTTTCAAGGCCCAAACTCTTCCTCATGTACCAATTTACGTCTCACAGTTCCCGTCCATCACCGTAGACAGCAGAATAGTCGTGATTGGATCAATTATAATGAAAATTGTAGTTTTCAGGTCCCACAAGGGTTGAGAAATTTACCTACTATTGTCCATGCTCTTAGAATATTACAAATCAGCTATATCCTATTGAAGGCTCGTAGTTTTGTTTTGAGAAATATTAGTTGTTCTTAGTAAATTATAATAAGTACTATAAATTATTGCATAGAATATTAGTGCTTCACCAATCAAGATTTTATACTCTAGTTTGTGCTGTAAAAATCTTTAAAGAATGTACTGTAAGAACGTCCACAGAAAACAATGTTATGTTTGAATGTCTTTGGGGTAAACTACTGCAAAAAGGATGGTATGGTGTCTTTTTTTTTTTTTTTTTTTTTTACCCTGTGTAGGATAGGTATAGGGGTCCACTACCACCTATTAGGTGGATAAGAGGTCCATACCACTTGTAGGATGGGTCTGCGCCCAATAACTACTCATAGGATAGATATGGGGTCCACTAGCTACCGCCCTCTGGATGGGTATATGCTCCACTACCACACACAGGATGTGTATGGGATCCACTACTGCCCACAGGATGGGTATGGGGCCCACTACCGCCCACAGGGTAGGTATAGAGGTGGGTCACTACTACCCACAGTATAAGTATGAGGTCACTATACCACCCACAGGTTGGGCATGGGGTCCACTACTACCCAAAAGATTGGTATGGGGTGCACTACCGCCCACAGGATGGGTACATGGGGTCTACTATTACCTACAAGATGGGTATGGGGTCCACTATCACTCACGGGCTGGGGTATGGGGTCAACTACAGCTCAAGGATAGATATATATTCCACTACTTCCCACGCGGTGCTGGTAGTGGTAGTGGTGTTGGGAGTTACAAGTAGAATGTTGAATTTCAAGAAAGAACAAGTATATACACTATGCCTAAAGCACTAACACGCACAGCGTTTTGGACAAGATCTGGAAAAAACCTTAAAAACTAAGACTTAAGACTAATTGAGATCAACAGCATGAACTGAACTGACATGTGTTGACATTTAGGAGATAAGGTAAGTTACAATTCAATTTCTTTCTTTATTATGCACCCCATACCCATCCCGAGGGCGGTGGTGTAAATATTGAGGATTACAGCGGCACATAATCGG